CACACACACACACACACACACAGAGACCGTGAACACACACCCGGAGCAGTGGGCAGCCAATGCCAAAATTACAATGTCACCTGACCAAACCGGAAGACAGGTCTCATCGCATCTAGAGAAAGTGTTAACAGCAGTATGAACTGATAGCAATATCTTAAAGTAATCATCTAATCTAGCTAATTGTTTTTATTGTTGCCATTTTAATACCTGAATGTTAATGAAAAGAAAAATGAAAAACTTTTAGATATCAATCTGCATATGTGATGAACATCGGTTATGATCATCTTCGGTATCTCCTTTGAAGGCATCTTGATTAAACAATAATTCAATTAATAATAAATATGAATTCAAAATAATAAGAAATATTACTGTAGCATATAAATAATTCTAAAATAACACTGAATAAACCTAATTAAACTCAACTCAAACCCTTCAACTAAACTGAAGAGCAAGAATAACATTAACATTCATATCTAATTCCTTCCGATTACATTCCTGAATGCTGCTTCCACCCACCAAGCTCTGTCCGCTGATGATGAGGGCGAACTCTCCACTGATCGACTCCAATAAAGAGGGGGGCAGAGCCTGAGAAGGGGGACATTTACTCTCATCAGGCATCCAGTTAGCAGCACCACCACCTCCACATCCATTTCCAAAGGCACAAGCACCACCCCATCCCTGAGCTTCAGCTTCCTTCCCTCCATCTCTGGTGCGTGTGGACTCCAGCATTCGCTCTCTTGCTTTCCTATAAAACAAAAAAAAAGAAAATGAAAAAGCCTTTCCTGAAAGACTTACATCTCTTATATTTCTTGGGTTGTTGGATGGACAGATCAGACAAACATCAGCATTGTACCTCAGTTCTTCACGTACGCTTTGGACGGTGTGTCCATTAACAATGAAGATCTCCGTCATGTCATCTGTCAGCATTTTACACGAATATCCAATATTCACTGCAGTCTCTGTCACAAAAGGAGAAAAGGACATAAATAATTGTCAAGTAAATGATAACAGTTCTGGCCAGTTCTTTTGCAGGTCTTACCCTGTTTGTCTCCAGTGAGCACCCAGATCTTGATGTTAGCCAGTGAGAGAATAGCAATGGTCTCAGGAACCCCCTCTTGCAGTTTATCTTCTATAGCCGTGGCCCCCAACAACTATGACAAGGGTTAAATAGTTAATATTATTAACAAAAAGACTAAGGAAACAACAGGAATTGGACACACAAACACACCATCATGTCCTGTTCGATCTCCTCATAGGCTGCAGCCAGCCGGTCGTCTCTGCAGTCTGTGGCCTTATCAGCGCCACGGAAACGCTCTGACCACTCCTCCCACTGCTCCTCGGACAGATCCCGATAGGCCACTGCGAGTGTCCGTAAGCCGTCACCTGCATACTCCTACAGAAACACACACATACACACGTGCCAACATCAGCAGCTCATGATAATATCATTTTCTTATGAAGACATTCATGGTTTTTTATTGTTTTTGTTGTGAGAACCACTGGATATGTTAGATAAACTATTAGGAAACAAAAGCTGTTAGTTTTAAACATGAAATGCTTGTTTTGGTCTGCTCCACCTC